TGACCAGAACTGCAGTATCTGTTATTGCACAAGCAGTGCAGATATAATGTCCTTTCACATCGCAGTAAGAGTTGCCAATATTTGAAGCAAAATATGCTATTGGTCTCACGTAGAATGGGAACACATTCAGAAAGAAGATGAGACAAACATAGCTTCTTAGCTAATTAAAAAAAATGACAGTAAGCAGTTTGACAAATAAAGTTCTAGTGGTCTCAGATTACACTGACCCAAAGCAAATGATCTGGCCCTGATTTAGTGGCATGCATGTTTTATGTAGAATTGCTGCTGTGTCCATAAAATGTTGCTAGTTATGGCCAAAACCAGTTCTTAAAAATGTCAACACTTCTAGGATAATTTTTTTTCCTTTCCAGGCTAAAAAGAATACACAGACAACAGTTTCCCTTACCAGTTTGATTATATATATGTTTCTGAGCAGGCATACTAACTGGTGAGCTTCAATTTATAACTAACAGCGGTACACAGCACTCAAACCACAAGCAAAATTATCCAAGCAGCTCTTTTTGCATATTTCTGCTAGCTGTATTCTTTTCCAGCTCATGTCCAGACTCTAAAGTGTTAGTGCCAGTCCAAGAAGACTTGAGGTCTTTTGCATGGCAGCCTTCAATCAAAGCCTTTGACCTGAGGTGCAAAAGGCAGTCACACAAGATGTTCCCAACATTAAAACTGCACTCATGAGCTTGGTATAATTAGGCAGACAGGCCTCAGTCTCTCCTAATGCAGAAGGACAGCATCCCTGATGCAACACCATAGTGTAAAGCCTATGTAACCACAACAGCAGGATATTGAAAAGGTCTCTGAATTATAGCTAAGTGAACAATTTGAAATATATGTGTTTATTTACAATCTAATTTAACTACCTAAGTAAGAAATAGGTCTCCCTAATTCCTCAGGAAAATGGACAAACCCTCTAGACAGGGATTCAAGGCAGGAATGTAATGTTGATGTTCTGAATTGTCCCATGGAAGTATCTGCCTCTTTCATCACTGTCCATAAGGGAAACTAAAACTAGGGAGCTGACATTCCCATGCAAACCCCCCAGGTCAGCATTAAATTTAGGCAAAACAAATCATTCCATTTTGCTCATAGTATATTTCTTCTGTCGTTTGCAAGTCATCCACAAGTAGTCTGCAAAATTCTCTGGCATAGTTATTAATCAAGACATCTATTTGCATCCTGATGATGTTTCTGTATAGCTTGCTGCCTTCCTGCTCTGGGCACAGACTTAGCGGATATCTGGAAGTCCCAGGAAATGGTCACTGCACGTGTCTAGAACAACTCTACTTCTTTGGTATGCATTGCCCAATACGCAGTAAGACTGGCATATCTTAAAAGGCATCTTGTAGATATCAGCCATACATTGCACTTGCAATAGGTCTGATGTGTCCACTCGCAGTGCTTGCTATACAGAGGCAGTTTTGTGCCTCCAGACAACCTGTGAATGCACAGCCCAACTCAAGGATGTCAGACCTAATGCTTTCAGACCTGCTACTTGCAGCCATACTTTTTATCTAAAAGGTTTGTAGTTTACACGATCCTGTCTGAGATCATCATACCCACAGCCACCTGATGAATAAGTCACTCAAGAAAAAGAGGTACCAAGAAGGAGGTCACTAGAGTACCAGTTTATAAAGGCTACTTCTTTACTCTGCTTAAACCCCTTCTGGTTGTAATCTGAAAGGAGTCAAACGTGATAGCCCTGAAATAATGCTTCCCTGGGCTGAAATGAATGTGTGAATACCACCTTAAAATCTGATAGCCACATGCACAAAGATTTGATTAACCAAAACCACGTAAGAAGTTTAGCATACTCTGAAATGGACTTTTTTGAAAAAGGTATTTCTATTGGCATAATATTACAAGGTATCTTATTTGCAGTGTTTCTGAATGTTTTCATACCTAAGACTTATTTTAGGGAAAAATCTAGTAGTTTGATTGCCTGAAGGATAAACATACTTTCTATGTTGTGCAGAGGGAAAATCCCTTTCTTGTCTCATGTTGTTTGCTTCAACAGTAATTTTATAGCAGGCTAGTAAGCCGTATGGTGAGCAATGATGGTTTCCAGACGCTACCTAGTAGGAAGCAGAGCTGCAAATACTGTTGAAATAGGAGTCTGTTTTTTCTGGCTTTCCTTAAACAAAATTTACAATCTCATTTCTCCCCTTCTTAGGGAAAAAAAGCTGCTTTATATTTCAACTGTGTAACTTTCAGTTCAGATTAAAATAAAAACAATAAGATGCGTAAATGGAGAAAATATAAAACCTGTGCCTAAGAGATAGTGAATATCATGTGACTTTGCCAGCAGAAAGTTTCTTTTGAAGTAAAATTACAGAAGAATATACTGTCTTAACTACATCTTCAGAAATGGGTGGGCAGATCTGAAAAAAAATCTCTTACATTTTGGATATACAACACTGCAAAGAATGTGACCCCTAAATTCCTTTGAGGAGCTGCTTTCATTCTTTGTAGGCATTCCCAGAATGAAGATTATATTGTCTATCATGGTGGACTTAGCAATTTTGGCATCCAAGGCCATTGGGGGTGAGGGAGTTGGTTAATTACTTTCGTTTCCTATAGTAACTAGCACAGAAGTAATGTTAATTTCTTTACTTTTATATTCATAAATTATACATGTTTCAAGCACTACAGCATTCTCAGTTATGGCAAATGAATATGATATTAATATGCTTTATATGATAATTCCCCTCAGACAAGCTAGACACATCATTTTATGCCTAAATCTGCAATTCTTCCAGAACAGATCTGAGGCTTTTTCTTACTGTTTATTTATGCTACAGAAGTCCAAGAGAAAGCCGCCACTTATGCATACTTTTCTGGAAGCATGCATAGGTCATGATTTTTTTTTTAACCCAAGTGAAAATATTATAGTGGTGTAATCCAGCTGTTCATTTTGCACCCCTAACAAGGAAAAATGACATGCTGGCAGATATGCAATTAATTTTTTGACTTAAGGACTTTGAATGAATACAGCCAGTTCTGGCTGTTAAAATCTAAAACTAGAAAACTATGGTAAAAGTGATCATTGTTATTGCACTTCTTGCAACCAAGAAAAAAGTGACTTTGTAATGAAAAGCAAAAATCAATTGCTTGGTTAAGCCTGACATTTTAGGTGAAAGACTTTCAAATGATTTAAGTAAAAACCCTCATTGGAATTGGTTGTTATTGTGAGTTTATTTCCTCATATTTGCACAAAACTGACTCTCCAATTGTATTGTTACATGGACCATTTATTAATAGCAGTGGAGTTCATATCTTAATGAGAGGAGTTTAAAAGTGGAGGCCACCAAATTAAAATGTATATCTGAAGTCTGCAAGCAGATCAGGTGGCCTCAGATTCAGGGTAGGCGTGAGAAGATGCATGCAAGACTGTCTATTTCAAAACAAACATCTCAAAAAGTATTTCTTCTGTGGTTTTTTTTAATTTCAAACTCAATAAAATTCAACAAATAGAAGGAATCTTCATTGTTTCAGAAGCCATAGTCATAGAGGAAATAATAGAAAATCTCATTGTACAATTACGGAAAATGAACTTCCACTCCTAATGTTTAGTGAAGCTGAAGTCTGATTGTACAGAGACTTAGGAAGTCAAAATCTAATTAATAGGGGGCCTTTAAAAATATTCCTAAGCCAATTACTTGTTAGCTCAGAAAAGAAGGAAATGATAGTACATTCGAGACAATGACTTGAACTAATTAATCCCAGCTGCTCAGTATGGGGGATGCTGCATTACTAGTGGTGCCATGTTGTAGGACAAAATTTAAAACAGAAGCTTAGAGATGCTAAGGCACTTCATATATATATGTATAAAAAAGAGTTAGTATGACTATCCTCAAAAAATAAAAAAAAAAATTCTGTCCAGGTCTTTTGTTGTTTTCATAAACTTGTGTTATCATACTAATAGAAATACACCGCTTGAATGCAACAGGCTCTGTCATGCACAAGGCTGTACAAAGAGGGCTGTACAAACAGAACAAAAAGTCTTTGGCCAAAGAGCTCACAATTCAGGTATGAGAAGTAAGAGAGAGCAGATGGATACAGGGAAGGAGTCAATATAAGCCATACATTGAAGCAGAGTCTTAGTGAATGACCATCGCTCACTGCTATAAGTGGCTTCTAGATCAAGAGAGTTCTGAGAAAAGTCTTCAAGGGTGTTAACAAGGTGGTTTGGTAGCCATTGATGGACAGATGGAAGACCCAGGCATGAGGGAAAGTAGTGAAGAAGGCAAGAAAGTATTTGTTAAGGTGATAGAAGGGTTAGCGGAGGCCAGCCACTAGGAGAAGTTAATGCAGGAGTCAACCTTTCAGTGCTGAATAAGTGAAGTGGCTTGGAGAAGCTGGGTTAACATTCAGGTTGTGGAAACGTGTAACTTCTGTTTGACATAACCCAGGAGGCAGAGCCAATGAACGGTGCTCAGAAGCAGAGTGGGAAGAAGACCAGTGTGGTTAAAGGGGTAGGAAAATGAACAGACACGAGGAGGACAACACTGCATTTGTCATGACCATCATAAGGCTTCACACTGGTGTCATCAAGTGAAGCCATGGAAGAGACCTTCAGATGTGTGTGCATCTAGTATGCTACAGACAAATTCTGGGAAGTCTCTTTAACACTTTTACACTACTTTTAACATCATGGTATCTTCACTGGTAGCATTCTAATGCTATAATATCCACCTTGGCAATTTGCTACAGAAGTTTTCTGTAATGCTGCATAGAGTTACTGGAGAACAGTAAGTAACCACTGCATTTCCCATATATTCTTATTTTGCTGTTAGTGAGAACATTCAGCTCAATATGATTTACACAACTGTATCATTTGTAAAATCATAAGCCTTTATAAAAGATGCTGAAGGACTTTTGGACTGAAAGGCATCACTGAAAGGCCCAACTCAGGAATGTATATGCTTAACTTGAACCACATAAATACCTATAGTCAATTACAAAAATGCTGTCTGTATCCACAGGTATCTGAGGTGTTACTACTGGGCAGTTCGTACTTTAATCACCATCGGTGGCCTTCCAGAACCACAAACCCTGTTTGAGATAGTTTTTCAACTGCTGAATTATTTCTTGGGTGTCTTTGTCTTCTCCAGCTTAATTGGTCAGGTACATCAAGAAATCAATAGAGACGTTCAAATTACTGTAATGTAGTGATAATATATTCAATTTAATGAAGTTTACTTCTGGGAAAAAGTTTAGCTGCCATCTGAATGTCCCTCTATTTAACTGTCATCTGTACTTATTCTGCTGAAAATAATACATGTGTTTAATCAGTTAGCCATTTTGTAGCCCTTTTGCACACAAGCTGATTTAAAGCCAAGACTCTGCAGGACATGGATGATTTGTGAAACTATGTATAATTCCTTTTTTATTCCTCACAGCCAAGGAGACAGTTCCTTAACATTCACACTATATTGTTAAATCTGATATAAAAATTATAATTATAGGTATGATAATAATATGTACAAATTATTGAATAAGTCATGCTTGATACTACTGCTAATAGAATGCTGTTAATGGAAATCCCATGATTTTTGTCAAACTAGAATTCTGCTCTCTTCCATAAATTACAATATATTTGTTAACCTGAAAGTTAACTGTCTTCTATTTCTCTTGGTTCTCATTTGGCAGGAGGAAAAAAAAAGCCCATAGCACAGCAAATCCATTATATTTTTAAATGAATATAACTGAAATATTTCTGGTTTGTAACTATTAAACTTAGGCTTTAGATCCATAGTTTTTAAAATACCTTGCCTACAGAAAAACAAATGCCATGGTTCCTATTTGAGATTTATCATATATAAGTCTTATATATATATATATCTTATCATATTCCTGTAGAAATTATTCCAGACCTTTTGATTCGTACATGTCTGTTATTGGAAGAATTATTACGAAAAAATAAAGATGAAAACTGAAATTTAATTTCTATTTTCAATACAGGATTTGAAAAGTTCAATCAAACAGTTAAAAATTGCATGTCTCTTGCTGTTTAGAAATGCAAGAAGAGATAATCATCACAAAACAGACTCTTGCCTATAGGATTTAATATTCATCCACAAACAAGAATTACCAAAAATAAAACAAAGTAGTTCATATAAAATATTTCTTCTGGAAAACTATTGAATTCAAGTATATTGGATTCAACTTCAGAGTTTGCATATTAATTTTTTTTTCCTAAATTGCTATAACTGTCAATGAAAGCACCATTCCCCAAGGAGATTCTGCAGATTAGTTTTTGTAACCAGTATAGTCATTTGCAGACTCAAACCTTAAATCTTAACACACAAACAGCTTCGCTGCAGTTTGTTATAATTCCTGTTTACAAAGAGCTCTTAAAATTACTGAGTTATTCCTGGTTTAGCACACTTGCCTAAAAAATGTTATTCCTACTGCAATCAATTGCATCTCTGTAATAAAGAGCAGAATTCAGCCCACCGGTACAGTAATCCTTGGCCACTGCAATATGAAACCATTTGACTAAAAACATGTCTATATAGTTATGCTTCTGAAGAAGGAATATCTATGAACATTAACTCATCCACTTTCTAAAAACTAAATTATATTTGTGTTGGAATGTTAAATGATGTTCCTGCACTAAAATCTTCAAGGACAACTTTCAACCCTAGGTGCATTTTTAGGACTGATCTAGATTCGCTTAACTATTTAAACAGTGGCAGGATCTAATTCTAGTGGTGCCAGCTGATGTTATTAGAGAAATTTAGCCCAGTTTGCTTCACTTCTGACTTGCATTCCACACGAAGTGCAGAGTAGCTTTATTACAGATTTTTAAGAAAAACATTATCTATATTTTTTCATGCATGTCCAGAAATATGAGGTAGAAGAATAAGCTAAAACCCACAAATGATTCTTTTAAAACCATAAATATAGACTTTCCAACACAATTAGATTAAATCTGTAATGCTTCTGAAAAAGCGGATGAAGCACCTATTCAAAACATGCAGCTGAATGTATAATTAACCAGTGATTTTGCAAACAAGTATTTTATTCTTTTTATATGTGGTTGACGAGATATTCAGATCAAGACTATTTTTGCTGAAATGTGTAGTAACAACAACTGATGTTTGCAGATGAGAGATGTAATTGGAGCAGCTACAGCAGGACAGAACTACTACCGTTCCAACATGGACAACACTGTCTCCTATATGAACACTTACTCTATTCCAAAAGTGGTGCAAAATCGTGTTCGAACCTGGTATGAATACACATGGGACTCTCAGGGAATGCTGGGTAAGGCTTTCCAATTCCAGTTATGTAGCAACTCCAAGTGAGAGTGGTTGTACAGATACAGAGTGAAAGTCACATTTCTGCTTTTCTGAATTGCGTGCAAGAAGTGAGGAGGATATTCAATTTACTTTAGAAAAGAAAAAAACTCAAAACCAATATGATGCTTACTATTTGACAAATTCTATTAATTTATATAATGTTCTGGTTATAATTTGAGACAGGATATGTAAATTAAAAGACAGTATCTTATAGAATCATAGAATCATAGAATGGTTTGGGTTGGAAGGGACCTTAAAGATCATCTAGTCCCAACCCCCCTGCCATAGGCAGGGACACCTTCCACCGGACCAGGTTGCTCAAAGCCCCATCCAACCTGGCCTTGAACACTTCCAGGGATGGGGCATCCACAACTTCTCTGGGCAACCTGTTCCAGTGCCTCACCACCCTCATAATGAACAATTTCTTCCTTATATCTAATCTAAAGCTACCCTCTTTCAGTTTAAAGCCTTTACCCCTTGTCCTATCACTACATGCCCTTGTAAAAAGTCCTTCTCCAGCTTTCTTGTAGGCCCCCTTCAGGTACTGATAGGCTGCTCTCTCAGCCTGTCTTCATAGGAGAGGTGCTCCAGCCCTCTGACCGTGGCCCTCCTCTGGACTCGATCCAACAGGTCTATGTCCTTCTTATGTTGGGGGCCTCAGAGCTAAACGCAGTACTCCAGGTGGGGTCTCACCAGAGCGGAGTAGAGGGGGAGAATCACCTCCCTCTATCTGCTGGTCACGCTTCTTTTGATGCAGCCCCGGATACGGTTGACCTTCTGGGCTGCAAACGCACATTGCCGGGTCATGTTGAGCTTCTCATCAACCAACACCCCCAAGTCCTTCTCCTCAGGGCTGCTCTCAATCCATTCTCTGCCCAGCCTGTATTTATGCTTGGCATTGACCGACCCATGTGCAGGACCTTGCACTTGGCCTTGTTGAACATCATAAGGTTCGCACGGGCCCACCTCTCAAGCCTGTCAAGGTCCCTCTGGATGGCATCCCGTCCCTCCAATGTGTCAACCACACCACACAGCTTGGTGTCATTGGCAAACTTGCTGAGGGTGCACTTGATCCCACTGTCCATGTTGCCAACAAAGATGTTAAACAGCACTAGTCTCAATACTGACCCCTGAGGAACGCCACTCATCACTGGTCTCCACTTGGACATCAAGCCATTGACCGCAACTCTTTGAGTTCTACTAAGAAAGTACTACTTTCTTAGTAAAAGCATATTAGCAGCTTCCTCATTTGAACTCATAAGTGCTAGAATAGCTCCATTAAATTATTTTTTCTGTACAATACTTATTTTTACGGACATTCTTTCATTCTTCCTTTATACTTTCTAGCTAACAGAGTTTGCTTTTTTTTTTTCTTTTACAGATGAATCAGAATTACTGGAGCAGATGCCAACCAAAATGCAATTAGACATTGCAATTGATGTGAACTTTGCCATTGTCAATAAAGTTGACTTATTCAAAGCAAGTACTTTTACAGGAGAATGCAGAAATGTGTGGTATTCCTGAGACAGAAACCTTGTTTTGTACATCTTGCAATACTTAACAATGTTTGTTAATATGCAAGGCAAAATAGGTCTAAGAAATATTTTGGTCAATGGATACATGTCAGGATAAAGCCAAGTGCCTGCCTCTGAAATTTTTGTGTCAAAGCAGAGATTAAAAAAAAAGCAAATGAGATTAAGACACAGTCCTGTTGTATCAACATATTAAAGCTGATGTTATGGTGTCGTGGTCACCATATGGTGACATAGGGTCAGACTGTAAGTGATTTCAGAGTATAACTAATCTCAGGAGTCAGACATAGAAGAATGTAATTTTTAATACAGTTCACCTTGCCTTGTTGTATACTGCCTAGCACTGCCTGAGAGATCACTAATGCTATGTGTTCTGGCAACATAAGTTTGGTATAGTGAATGCTACTTTTTAGTAACTTTTTGTGCAAAGGAGCTTTTTTTTGTTATCATGATAGTTTCCCAGAAATTAAATTTAAATGTGGTACTTAAGATTGGATTTTTGACAGCAAAACCAAGGATACACTGCATTTTTAGAAGTAGTCTTGACATACAGTTACCTTAACACTAATTTGTTTGTTAGGATAATTGCAAAAAAAATCACATGATATCTCTGTATAAACTTTACATATCTTCACGGTTTCTGCCACATTTGCTGAAGACATGGAATTCATAGATTCATACCAACATTTGACATGATCTGTTTTTTTTCTCCCCTGGATCAGTAAAAAAAAAATCATATAAGAGACCCATAAAGCTGTGAACGTAGCACTAACTGAGCTTCCACACAAAATTTAGATGTACAGAACATTACTTTTTAAAAATTGAAGAGATGTTCAACTTAAAGGGAATTTTATAAGTATCTGAAATGACAATTCTTTCAGTCTTTTCTCTGCCCTAAAAGCTGATCCTTATGATGTTCTGAGTTTGCATTCCACTTATGAATCCCTGGATCATTCATGTGTTGTTGGGTTTTGCTGCCCAGTGTAAGCACTAATAATCACTTGTGTTACTGAATTAATAGAGCAATCGATTCTAACTCTTTTAACAGGGGTGCGATACCCAGATGATATATGACATGCTGCTAAGGTTGAAATCCATTGTATATTTACCTGGTGACTTTGTCTGCAAAAAGGTGAGCATTGTTGTCTCTTTCAAATAATGATTATAGTATGTATTTAAGAAAAAGAGTTCAGATATCGGTCAACAGTGTCCTTTAAATACAATTAATCCTGAGGGAATTAGATAGCATAAAAGTAATTAAGGTACTCTGTGTAGTAATAACAAATGCGCTCTCAAGTTTCAATCTAGAACAAGACAATATGGATTTTATTACTTACAATATCAACCATAAAATTATAGTAATATGGGAAAGTACTTAATGTAAATATGGCTTATCTAATGATACATCATGAAGTTTTAATATTTAAAATGGAGCAAGCTTAATTTTTTTATACATATATACATACAAACATAGCCTGGAGATCTCAATCTACGATGCTCTGCATGTGCTTCATTTGTGTATTCAGAAACTCTTAAGTGGAATTATCCAAGAATGTAGAAAATACACTGCATCCCATACCACTCCTTACAGCAGGATCTGATCTTGCTCTACCTTCACTCACAGCTCTGAGCCATCTCCAGATTTCCAACTGAATGCTGTCACACTGTCCCTTAGCAAAGCCATCTATCTTCTCTTAGCGTTTTGGCTCAAACATGGCCTTATAGTACTGCAGGTAGGTGGCTCAGCTTCTGACCAAGTGAACCCAAGTCTTTTTTCAAAAGGCATGTAAACATACTCGTAAGCAGTGTTGGATGTAATTAAAGCATGGGGGAGGGTGAAGTATCAGTACTGTAACTGTTCTGGCAAGTGACCCACAGTTCATGCCACACCCAGAAGTGACCATCAGAACCCCTTAACTTGTCTTTAGCAGTTTTGGTCCACGATCTTCACTAAGGTCCTCATCCCTCCAAGAGTTAAGCATACGATCCTCTTCCCAAACGCTGAGTTAGTCCCACTGACTCCACAGTGTAGGAAGTTAAACATTTGTGAATGCACTAAAGGATGCACTTCAAAGACCAATCCCAGAATTTCTGTTGGCTAGGAAGGGTGGAAGAGTAGTTTGGTGTGTTTGCTTGTACAATGCAGAGCATGAAAGGATCTTAGACTGCGGCTGGGACTCTGCCACAACAGAGATAATAAATGACAGTAACAGATTCAAGGTCTTGATCCTGCAGTCAGATGCAAACTGTTCTCAAAAAGGATGGATTTGAAGTATCATTTTACTCCAGCTTGATTCAGAGCTAAAAGGCCACTCACTTGTATAGATCTACTATGTGGCCAACAACCATCATAATCCTATTAATGCTGTAACATGTAGTAGGGAATAAGACCCTGTTGGAACTACCTCCTCCTTGGATGTGTGTTGGCCTCATCGTACTTTTTCAAGGAGGCTCCGACATGCAGGCTTGGAGGTGCAAGTGAAGGGATAAGAAGTGCAAGCCTTACATTTTCAGTTCTGGCTTTGTTGCTGTTGCCTTTTCACTTTTAAAATGAAACTGCTGCTTTGCCTCATTTACTCCAGCTGCATGAGTAGAAAAATATTTATTTACCTGTCTTACTGAGATGTTGTGAGGACTGTTATAATCATGTTTGTGAAGTCCATTATATTACTCCAGTTTGCCTGCTTTTTATTGTGTATACTGAAGTCATGCTTTGAATCCTAGTACATCATGCAAAGGATAATAAATAAACTAATAATCTCTTAAACCATCCAGTGATTACATAAAAGTAGACAAAGTTTTGAATGATTCTTTATTCTTAGGTAAGTGATGATTAGAAAGAATAGTGTAAAAACTGAAGCTTGTTAGACCATGAAGCATAGGCTTTTTTTGCACTTCTCTGTTATTAAATATGCTGCTGAAATACTTTAGTTTCCACCAGAATAGTTGATGGAAATGATTGCTACAATCCTGATTATTATCTAGTCTTCTTTTTCCAAGCTGGCCTAGATGGTCTTACTCCTGTTCAAATATTGTTCCACATCACAATTAATCCTTGTGCTTGTGCTCAGTGCTAGGGAAAGTAGCGCAAACATTTATTTCTCCATAATACCGGTAAACCTGTTTATGAGAAAGTGGAATGATATTTAAAGACTAGTTTGTCAGATTATTCTAACAAAAAAATACTTCCCTGCTAAAACATTGGATCTTTTTGTGTTTGTGTGCCCAGGGAGAGATTGGCAGAGAGATGTACATCATTAAACAGGGTGAAGTTCAAGTCCTTGGAGGCCCTGATGGTACAAAAGTCCTGGTTACACTAAAAGCAGGAGCTGTATTTGGGGAGATCAGGTAGGTCCATCGCTATTTTTAACAGTTTCTTTAGAACTGGTCAAATAATCAATGGTTGTTTAACTTCTCTGTGGTAAGCATGACAGCTACCACAGGGAGGCTGGAAAGTTGGTAGGATCAACCAAGACGACACTGAGCAAGGAGATGCAGGTAAGTGAAGGAAAATCTAAGTGAAACATCAGAGACTAATCTTGCAAGGTCTGAGACCAGTGTTTTGGGCAATGTACACAGGGATATACAGACAGATTTATCCTTCAGATATAACACATCCTCCTGTTCTGAGGTCTGCAATACAGCAGGACCAAATGCATTTTATTGCCTGTATAGTGAGACTAGGTGCCCTTACACAGCAGATGGTAAAAATGATAATTAATTTCCAACAAAGGAGATAAAAAATCTAAAATAGCAAATAAGCCTGGTTCATTTAGGAGCTGAAGTAGGGATTAAGTTGCCAAAAATCAGGCATCCACATTTGAAAATGTATTTGTTTAAGAGCATACAAAACAAGAAAAAGGCTGACAGACCAGATTTTTGGGTATGAGTTTATCTGGAGGACAAGATTTTTCTCAGGTGGTTACAAATGGTTTTTATATTCTCCATGTGGTTGCTATGTAAAATCCATTAACTCTTATGGGCCATGTTCCCCAATTAGCCAACCAAGTGCTGGATTTTAGGCACTGCATCCCCTGCTGAAGTTGGCCTGAGGAAAAGTAATAAAATACATGTGCTGCTGCATGTGATAAACTGGATTCTTGATTTCTTCCAGCTGCCTTCCTGTTATTGTTAATCCTCTTGCTGGTAGCTTTAATCTGCCTTTTGAAAAGCGGTAATCAGCTCTGTGCCAGGTTTACATTTATCTTCTTTTTGTGTCTCCCTTTGTGGTAGGGGAAACATTCCTGTTTATGCAGTGACGTGCGTACAGAACTTGCTTAGACCTCAAGTGGAAAACACCTGATATACCCCATAGATACAGACCTTTTTCATTGAGTGGGACAGTGAAATTATATCAGCTATTTGAGAGAAGGTTATTTGAAAGTTATTTCTCTGTGCGACAATATAATACCTGAGCAAAGCCTCAAAACAAAATACTGTGTCATAAGTGATGTGGAAAGGCTGAGAATGCACTGATTTTCAGTAAGGGCTGAATAATGAAAAGATAAAAGAAAAAGCTACAGCAGCCCAGATATGTAATCTGCACATAGTTTTCAATTATTTATTAGTCTTGTACTTGGAGCAAGGACTTTATTTTTTAAACTGAGAAATGATAATGATTGGTTTTAAAACAAGGAAGGGATGTTCAAACTTTTGATATAATACAGGTGAGCACTTGTTTCCACATGAGAACTACACAATAGCCTTTAAAGATTCATTTCCCAGTATGTGTTACTCTTCACATCATTGCCAATATGGCCAGTACAGCCCTCAGCAATGCTATAACCCTATGCTTCTAGTCTTGTTTTATTCATTGTTGACCTACTGCGGCAGCACACCAGTTCAGACACACATAATTTGCATATAAATGACAGGCAATGGATAAGCTCAAGGAGAAAATGCACAGCAACCGGCAGACATCTCCAAAATTGAAGAAAAGCAAAGATATGAAGCACTAAGTGTATCAGTAGAGATTTATCCTCTTCCTTGTGGCGAAGTGTTACAAAATAATGAGTTTGTATAGTGCCTCTCTATATAAGTTTTGTCAAGGTCTTCTGAATACGGAAGAAGCAGTAGAAAATGAAAAAAAATATTCTTTAATGGATGAAATATTGCTTCACTTAGCACAACCAAGTTTTCCCCTCAGTATTCATAGTATGGTTATCACCTGATATCAGGCTGATGTCCTTCTGATTTCTGATTCAAGATTTGTTTAGAGAAATATGTCAGCTTCATTCCGAGTGGCTTAACTGCATGATTTATAAGACACTTGCTATTTAATTTCACTCTGTTCAAAATGCATGTAAATGATGCTTAAAAAGTCTCTGAGGGCAAAGGAGTTGAAGAAAAGAAAAAACGTTTATTTCAAAAAATTTCCCTGAATTATACTAGAAGGCTAATGCAAGACTAATGTCAAACAAGTCCTTTTCCTATTTCATCCTTGAAAATTATTACAGAAACAGATTAAGAAATAGGAGTTGCCTTCCAATTAACATCTTCCCCTCGTTACTACCTTCCTGTATAGATAATATCAGTTTGGGGAAGCAAAATAATCTCAGAATCACAAGCAAACAGATTGCTGCCTTAATGAGAGCTTGTCTGCACAGACAATTGGGAAAGAGAGAAATTCAACTATAACACAACACTTCATTAGCCCAGAGAAATTTACACTTTAAGCCAGATGTCCTCATTCATCCATTTACTGTTATTTCACTAGATCAATTTCTTAACAGAAAATGGTAATTCTGGAAAAATAAAAATATTTCTCCATTATATGTAAATTTTTGACAGGAAGATCTCTAAATGTTTGATCTCGTCTTTAGCCTTTCAGCTGTTTTGTAACTTTAACTTTTATTTAAAAAAATAAAAAATAAAGGGAGTATTTATCTTTGTGAAAGATTACATTTTCCACTTTGGCCCAGGATTTCCCACAAAGTGGCAGCTGCTGCTTTTCAATGAGCTCTGCCCTTAGGTGTTTGACATCCTGCTCAGAAGCAAGATCCAGACCTATCTCCCTTTCCTGACTTACCAGTTCTCTCCATAAGCACATAGGTGCCGAGCTGAGCCGGCACAACCCTGCACGTTCAGCTGATACGCACACCATTCCCTGGACCAATTTGCTAATTTCAATGAACAGCAGCTTCCTAAAGAGATCAGCTGAGTCATCACTCTGACGACTTTATACCTCTAAATTAAATTTGCTAGCATAAGAATTCAAAAGTTATCATCTCATACTAATATTACAGCATTTCAGGCTAACAACTGGAGTAAAAAATGTAAGGTAAAAAAAGCAAATTTGTCTATTAATATAGATATTACATTACCAAGAACCATTGCAAGGCAAATGTAGTTATTTTTTTAAAATTTGGTCTATCACGTAACTCTTAGCACACTAGCCAAAACAGATTAAATTATGAAGTCCATAACGCTGTCCTTAGTCAAAGAAGATTCTGTTTGAGCAAGGACTGCCTTACTTGTAAAATTCACCTCACATCATCACCATAATGAAAAAGTTGATCTCTTTAGTCCTAGTCTGCCTTGATAAAATGAGCTTTCTGTTAGGAAAGCCTGAAAATGATTGTTCAATGAGTTGTTGAGAAGTGATTCTCATCAGAACTCAAAAGCTGTTTGCAATTTTCTTTAGTTGCTTTTCTTGTTGTGCAAATAATTTTATTCTATCTGAGGAATTGTACAGAATTGTTTAAAAAGAAGACGATATACGGCATTTTCAGCTTCAGTTCATATATTGATTGCTATCTTGGGTTGCAGAAAAACACTCTGTGTGTGTGTGTGTGTGTGTGTGTGTGTAAAAATAGCCTTGTACACACAGTTGCAGAGATCTCATACTATCCCTTATAAATAAAATATAATGTTATCTGTATGATCTAATATTTATAAATATGTTCTATAAATGTATTTAATATTACAACCAATATTTATATATCCTTGATTAATAATTTGGATAAGTATTAAATCATGTTTTATGGGGTCCAGACTATCCTTTATTAATAACTTTTAAATTTAGAGATTACTAAATATTCTCTAAAAATATTAACTCACTGGGAAATATTTAAGGGACAAATTTTAGGGTAGATCTCCTTGAATACAGTGATAAAGCAATTTTAGTCCTAAGAGCAAAACGCAACTTCTCTTACTTGTGACCACAGCTGAGAAGTGAATTTTCTTCATTTCATTTCCTTAATGAAAGATGAACAATTTAATTTTTATTTGTACAACATCTGATTTTTATGTGGATAGCCTTCCTATGGCCAACTGGTGCTTGCTAAACTGGTCTAAGGCTTTATTTTCAAAACAAAATAGCCTTCTTTTTCTAGCGGACACATTTGTAACTGTCGGCGTGAAAGACCTTCCTAATCCATACCATTCAACTTGCCAACATTCAAATGTGAGATGTGGTATGTGAGAAAACTGAAAACCAGAGTCCCACAGAAGTTATTCACTCAGGAAAATTAAAATTCTGGGAGAATCATTCATTCATTGCAAATAACTCTTTCAAAAATAACGGACTTGTGCTGCTCTATTTCTGATATAAATAATTTTCAACAATAAAATTGAGGAAATGCCAAGTTCACACGAGGACTAAAACAAATGCAGTCCTTGCAGTGGGTGTCTCTTGGGAGAAACGTCTCTATCTAGCAAGACTTTTCACAGTCCTTAGCATCTACATACACCTGACCAGTAGTGACAATTTGCCTTCCTGAGGCAAGACGATATTTCTAACCCCAACTGCAAAGGGACTTTACAGAACATCAGGGTACGTAAATGAGCTTTACGATGACTTTAATGGAGAACCACCAGCAAAGAGATTCCTCACTAGGACAAGTAACAATTGAACTGATGATGTTTATTTTCATTCTAGCTTATTAGCTGCAGGTGGAGGAAATCGAAGGACTGCCGACGTGGTTGCTCGTGGTTTTGCCAACCTTTTCATTCTGGACAAGAAAACACTCAATGAAATCTTAGTGCACTATCCTGAGTCAGAAAAACTTCTCAAGAAGAAAGCAAAGTATGTCCTACTAACAGTTTTTAAATCACATTATTTAACTGCAGAATGGACAGTTGTGGCTTCTAGACAGATTTGCATTCCTTTCTTGGAAGAGTAACAGATGTAAACACATTTGTATTTAGAGGTCAGATTTGCCTGGTAGTATCTAGTGGAAGTCATGGTCTTGGCAGGGACTCCAAGAGTTGTGGAAATGTGGTAAGTAGAACAAAGTCCTGAATGTAGTTGCCTTCTCCATTGTATTTAAGGTAACAAAACAAATAGGAGATACAGATGCATATCAGGACTCCGTACATAGTCAAGAAAGAAACTGCAGGACAGATGTCAGTTAAGGAGTAGGTTTTCAAAGATGCAACCGAACACTCGCAATTAATTCTACAGAGATACACTTCAATGCACCCACAGGCCTTTATGCATTTCCAAAACCTTAAGCAGTAGTTAGGAATGGATATAAAGAAAGGCCCGACAAAATGGAAGTACACAGATTGGAGCGCTGTGCATCTTGTTCAAAAGGATTCTGAAATGGGATTTCAAACCCAAACTGCTTTTTATCTTGCTTTGGCTGTAGCTTGCTAGGATCACCATTTCCCCAGCTTTGAAAGGGCAAAATATTGACAGATTTTGTCATAAAATTAAGACAAAATTAGTACCTTGCTACCTTGTAAAAGGTCCAAATATATTAAACAGTTTGTCATTATTAGTATACTTCAGAACTTTTTTCTTCTCAGCTGTTGCCTCGCATTGCTATCAAAGGTTGGAAGGTTGCTCCCAGACTTGAAATTCCACCAGAGAAGACTAAACATAGCACAGGAGTGACATTTTGTTTAGGGAAGCGCTAGCAGATGGTTGCATTCAGCATGTTTCAAGAGCCCTGATTGTCAAATGACAGTATCTTGAGAATTATCACATCCCCGAGGAACAAGGAACCTAGACACAGAATGGGCTGATTGCCCAATTTTCAAAACCAGCATCAACAGGTAGAAAGGTGGAACAAATCCACGGACTGATGGTCTTCAGCATTTATCCTTCCTGACTTTTCTCCAGCTTCTTTCTAAACAGTTTTATGACCACCATTACTTGTTATTCCTGTCTCTCTGTCCCACACTACTTTCCTCTGCTTTCTTGTCCACCCCAGTCATATCCTGCCAAGCCGTTAAATTCTGCTTCCTCCAGATAGCCTCCAGACAGATGGATAATAATCATCCATCCTTCGTATCTGCACTCCCATTTGGGTCCAAAGCCCTCTCTAGATATCAGCCTAGATACAGGATATCCTGCTTAATTTTAAAGATATGTGGTACCTGCCCTGTGCTGGAGGCCATGTATTCTGCTCACCTGTCTAGGCATCCACTAATTCTTCCAAAACTCCTGTGCTCTATGTATGGTCAGCCATGTCTCTAGAAAAAACTAGGCACCAACAGGAGATTTGTGCACTGTTTTGATAAAGTTTGCAGTTATGTTCAGTTTTGGAATCAAGTTATCAGTTGCTCTGCCCTGGAAGTTTTACGTTAGAGTCCTCTGGAGGATTGCATTGGCCATCCCACACCTTTAAAGGGCTCCTTGAAATAAACTCAAAGGAGTTGTTCAAGCAAGAAATTTGTTCTATTATCACCTGCCTGATAGTCACTGTATGGTCTTTACATAATAAACCCATGCAAGCTGCTGAAGTGTACTTTTTAAATTCATTACAATAAAACCTAAAAAAATTAAATCTTCACTTCTGAAATTCCCAAAGTTACAAAGTACAAGATGCTGGAGAAAATTATAGTATTATGGGATTTACTGTTCTTCAGACTTCTTCATAAAAAGCCTTAAGTCAGGGCTTTTGCAAGGATAGAAAAATTGCCTTGAAAACTGTACAGTAACCTAATAGAAATTGAAAGCATGGGAACCCTCTGCTTTTCACTGGTTCCATCTATCTTGGAACTGTCATCTAATCTTTACCGTCGTCGTTCATTCTCACTTCTTGTCGTTATGGTTGCAAATCAGCACAGCTACGGAAGGGTGTGAAAATCTAGTCTGCCACATGATTGGCAGTATTTTTTATATCTTCAGGGTATATTCTTCTACTGAAGAAGACCAAAAATAAGTACCACTGTCTAACCTGGCCTATGAGAGATGAGCCATGCTGAGTTAGGTTGGTAAACTGTTACTTCCACAAGCATCAGCTGGACTCTAAATTGAGCATTAACCGCTCTCTGAATTTACATACAGAAGGCCAGGTAAGAGACTTCCACCTCAGGTATGAGGCATCGGTCCCCCTTCACGCTACTTCTCACCTTATAAAACTCTCATCTGCTTTGCAACACCTTAATTTGAGCCTGCACTTGTTTATTCTCCAGGATATAGGTAAGCAATTGGCTGCTCATGGATTAGACAGGTGTACTCTGCGCTGGGTAAAAAACTGGCTGGACGGCTGGGCCCAGAGAGTTGTGATGAATGGAGTTACATCCAGTTGGCGGCCAGTCACGAGTGGTGTTCCCCAGGGCTCAGTTTTG